ATTGCGTACTGGTCTTTTGTTAGAATTGGAGTAGGCCAGTGGATTGTTGTTGTAGTTTAGGTGGCCAGAATTTTTTCCACAGATTTAGATGATAAAGGCTGAGGTGGGAGTCCAGAGTGCTGGGAGTGGGAAATATAAATGTGGCCGTGTGAGGGCCGCCTGCCCTGGAGAAGGCCACGCCCACTTTTGAGGAGGCCACGCCCACTTTTGAGGAGGCTCTGCCCTTACAGTGATGTCCATGCCCCCAGCCAGTCCAGATGCTAGTCCACAGACCTGTTGGGGAGGGGCAGCGGCTACTTGGGCCGGCACTCCCTCTCATTTGGTTTGATTTTAAACCTCCAGAAATGTTAAGGGCTGTGCATTTCCTGGGAGTACAACTCTCTCCTAGCACTGATACCCAGTCTATGCCAGACACGGACATTAGGTTGCACCCAGACTATGCCAGATATATCCAGATACATCCGCTGAAGAACTTGAACTTACACATGCTTCTTCTGCTTCTTTGCTATTTGTCTCAGCAAAAGTTTGGGATTAGCAGCTGAATCTCTGACTTGATCCTTCTCTTTCCTGAGCATGTGGAGGGAGACTTGAACAAGTGTTTTTGATTCCACTTGGGGTTTCAGTCACCCGCTTGCAGTGCTTGTCACTATTCCGGGCTCTGTACTCGAGGGACCACGAGGTGCTAGACATCCAGTGGGGGAGCTGGCGTGGTAGCCTGCAAGGCAAGCTCCTTAACCCTGGGCCCACCCATGTCTGATACAGAAGCTCCGTTTCCTTCTGGAGTTTCCCACTGTCCTGAAAATGTTTTGAATTCTTGGTGCATTGTCTAAAAGTCTCAGGAGGTCTACCTGCCTGGATTGGCAGCACAAGGGAAAAAGACCCTGTGTTTGAGCTTGAACCTGTAATAAATTAAGCACCCAGGAAAGTGTCTGCGGCGCTGACTAGAGCAGAAACAGCCAGCTGGCTAGAGCAGAAACAGCCTTGGTGAGTGGCAGACATGGTTCGGTGCTGTCCTAAACACACTTTTGGTTCTTTTCTTTATCTATGTTCTCTGTGTGTCGAAGTTGCAGAATGGCTGCAGCTGCACTAGCCATCATTTCTGCTCTCTTCCAAATCACAAAGCTGGCAACAGCATGCTCTTGCTCCAGTGTGCCTTTCTCTTCTCACTGTATCCAGCAGTTACCTCTGATTCTACTGCATCTTGTTTTTATATTTATTGCTGGACATGCCCAATTTTCTCTCTCCCATTCCATTGTTCCATACACCCATACCATGAGGACACTGCCCCATATTTGGTGGTGCCACTGCTAAAGAGATGCTGTGCCCCGGCCATGAGCTGGCATTGCCATGGTCCTTTCTCATCTGCTGAGCCAGATACCCATTGACCATAAACCTTGGGCATCTCTGGGAATTTAGAACTATCTTCTGCGGAAGACAGAGGCAAGCACCCAAGCCATTTTCCTCGTGTTGACTAAGGATTCCTGGCTTCATAAAACAGTTTGTGTCGGAGTCCAGAACACACTTTGAAACTGCATTCCACCCAGCCTTCTGGCAAAGCAAATTGACACCCTATTTGATTTCTTTATAGTTGTAACTGATTATCTTTCCTCTACGTTGGTGCCAGAGGCATTTACAGTGGACTGCTTCATCCTCTGGAGGCAGGCGTAGGATTTGTATGGATGGACACAGAGAGTCACAAATCATATGCATTGCTTTAACAAAATTCTCACTTGCTGGTGCTGTTAAAGGCGACTTGGCACCTTCATGGAAGACAGATTATATTTTCAATAATGATTTTTGTTTGCAAAGCAAGTAAATTAAACTTTTGTTCATTTGGAGCAAGAGACAACTTTGTTGGTTTAATATATACAATTAAAGCTGAGCTGAGATCTACTTTAAATGAAAATTGAAAACAAATTAAGTAATCAGTCAATGTAATGTTTGTCGTTACCGCTCTTGTATGTATTTGGATAACTCAAGAAAAAAAGCAGCTTAGCATTGCTGGGCATTTTATTTTATTCCAAGGGGGAAACACAGTGAGCTGGCACCATTGGAAATTGGTGATAAAATATTACATGCAGTGTTTATTTGTCTTCATGTTTGTATGAGCTCTATGTCAATTCCCATAGATTAAGTTAATCATAAGACATATCAGTACCCACTCGTATTGGGATCAGGCAATCTTAGGTTGACTTAGTGTAATTATTTGTATATATATATATTTTTTTTTTCTTTTCTTTTTTTATTAGTGAAAAACCATGAGGTACAGTTATAGGCTTACAAATTTTGTGCTTGGGTTTCAGTTATACAATGATCAAGTGCCCATCCCTCCACCAGTGCCCGACATCCATCCCCACGGGTCCCAGCATCCCCCCCCAACCGTCATCCCCCCCCCCCCGTCCCATCCTGCCTCTGTGGCAGGGTATTCCCCCTTGTTCTCTCTCTCTTCTTTTGGGTACTGTGTTTTGCAAGAGAGGCTTTGAGTGGCAATCATGTTTGGTCTATCGACTACTTTTAGCATGCTTCTCCCACCCTGGGAGGGCCCTCACAACACCCTTCATTTGGTACTCTCTTCTCTATCTGAGCTTCCTTTTCACCTAGAGCCTGTGGCTGGCCTTCCATTCATGGAGCAAAATTCCTGGTACTAATCTCAGCCATTCCTGGGTGTTACTCTCCCTTTTTGTTGCTTTATGTTCCCCAGATGAATGCAATCTTTCTGTGTCTATCCCGCTCTTTCTGACTCATTTCGCTTAACATGATACTTTCCATGTAGTACCACTTGTATGTAAATTTCATAACTTCATCTTTTCTAAAGCTACATAGTACTCCATTGTGTAAATGTACCAAAGTGTATATATTTTTATTTTTGGCTAATCTTTCTTAGTAGCCATGTGTAGTATCTTTTTCATTTGACATTTAGAAACATTTGTATTGATAAACAACATGTTTTGTAGATTCAAATTTTTGGAAATTTGACATTTGCAAAGATAGTGGCTATTTTTTTTCTCTCTCTTATTGCAAACCAATTCCTTTGTTCGATGACTCTGGGATCATCGGTGCCAATGACTTTTCTCCTAACCAAGAGTGGTGCCAGGCATTAAATAACCATGTTTTATATTTGTGTAGATTGTAACAGCAGCCTTGGGTTTTGCTCCCAAACAAATGGGCCCACACAGCTCATCAGCAGAACCTTGGGTCTCTGGTTCCAGTTGAAATTTGGTCGCTGGGAGGCGATACTGCTTTCCTGAAACTCTATCCCTCTGCGGCTTTGTTTCAGAGTTTGCTGCACAGGATTGAGATTTTGAATGTCATTCTCATGCAACTTGACAGAAGTGTCACTCCATGCTATATATTGCATCCTATTTTAACATAACTCTAAAATTCAGTGAGCAAAAAATTAGTTTCTCCTCTCTTATCTCCTAAAATTTTGTGTCAAATATGTCTCAGATTTCCCATTATCTTTTAAACCTAATTTTTGGGTCCAACTGTATTAAAATTTCAATTAAGTATGTATGGAAGTTTCTTCACCAGAGTTCTACATATTAATTTGCCAACTTAGTACATCGTTTGCAGCTTGTAAATATTGAAATTATTTATTCATGTTGTTTATATTTATTGGTTACAAGTAACAAAAATGTGATTCAAATCATCTCATCATACTGGATTTTCCTGAATTACAGTAGTCACAGCCTAGGGTACTGTCTTCAGGAATGGCTGTATCCAGGAGTTCAGGAACGCTCATCATACTCTTTCTCTTCAACTCCCCACCATACTTCAATAACAAAGACTCTTTGGTGGTATGCAATGAATTCAGTGAAATTGGCTTCAGGATTTCTCAGTGAGTCACCCAGAGAATGTAAATGCAGGGCCGAATATTCTCTTACCTGTATGAAACCATGCATGTATGTTGTACCACTCCACATTCCAGGTGTAGCTCCAGCACCACAGACATTAGTGATCCTAGTGCCATAATACAATGTGCCTTTGAGCACCCCAATTTAAACGTGCAACACTCCAACCCTAGGTGTGTGACCCTGGTCACTGCATCAAAGTCAAAGGGAGCAGAGTTGTAGGGGAAATGAATAAATCTTTCAGGGGGTGGAGGAGGTTTGAGCTACGCCAGGTACTTAAGCTACTCCTGGCTATTTGCTTGGGGACCATGTAGTGCCAGGATCCAAGGCAAGATCTTGCATGCAAAGCATATGCCCAGCCCTGGGATCATTTCTGCAGCCCTCTTAGGAAAACAATTATTTTCTGAGCAAAAGAAGCAGGGAAGCTTAGCAAAGTACAGAGAAGGTGACCATCACAGCCATTCCAGCCATTTGTAGAACAATACTCAAAAAGACCCTTATGGGGAAGATGAGTGCCACTTTACCCATGGTGGGTTTTGGTGGTGGTGGTGGTGGTGGTGGTGGTGGTTTTATGCTGGGTTGGAAAATTGACACTTTATCCTCTGAAGAAGCACATATTAGCTTTTCTGAGTTTATCTCATCATCGGGATCCCTTTAGGATAAAAAATAAAGAGACCCAAACGGTCCCTTTTAAAAGAATATTCTTATTTAGGAGGCCTGGGAGGGAGTAAGCCACATGATTTTATATGTATGTATGTATGTGTGTATGTATGTATGTATTTAGAGGGGGTCTTTTGGGGTCACACCCAGCAAATGCTCAGGGGTTACTTCTGGCAATGTATTCAGGAATTACTCCTGGTGGTGCTCGGGGAACCCTATGGGATGCTGGGGATTGAACCCCAGTCAACTGCGTGCAAGGCAAATGCCCTTCCTGGTATACCAAAAGCTAACAATTTTAGCATCCACCCTGGTTGGACTGACAGTGAAGGGGGCAGAATCAGCACTCGGGTGTCAGTGCCCCCTGCTGTGGTCACTCACTTCCTTCTCCTGCGCAGACCTCAAGAGGGGCTGAGGGGACTGGTGGTGGTGGTGGTTTTCCTTTTCTCCCCAGGAATAACCCGTGGCTCCTTTCTTCCTCCCCTGCTGCAGATCGAGGACATGCAGTGGGGCAAAGGCGTGCGGGAGATCCCCGCGTCGGTGTGCACGCTGCCCTGCAAGCCTGGCCAGAGGAAGAAGACGCAGAAGAGTGCCCCCTGCTGCTGGTCCTGCGAGCCCTGCGAGGGCTACCAGTACCAGCTGGACGAGATGACCTGCCAGCACTGCCCCTACGACCAGCGGCCCAACGAGAACCGGACGGGCTGCCAGGACATCCCCATCATCAAGCTGGAGTGGCACTCGCCCTGGGCCGTGATCCCCGTCTTCCTGGCCATGCTGGGCATCATCGCCACCATCTTCGTCATGGCCACTTTCATCCGCTACAACGACACGCCCATCGTGCGGGCCTCGGGCCGGGAACTGAGCTACGTGCTCCTGACGGGCATCTTCCTCTGCTACATCATCACCTTCCTGATGATCGCCAAGCCCGACGTGGCCGTGTGCTCCTTCCGCAGGGTGTTCTTGGGCCTGGGCATGTGTATCAGTTACGCGGCCCTCTTGACCAAAACCAACCGGATCTATCGCATCTTTGAGCAGGGCAAGAAATCGGTGACGGCACCCAGACTCATCAGCCCCACGTCCCAGCTGGCCATCACCTCCAGCTTGATATCCGTCCAGCTTTTGGGCGTGTTCATTTGGTTCGGCGTTGACCCACCCAACATCATCATAGACTACGATGAGCATAAGACCATGAACCCCGAGCTGGCCAGGGGGGTTCTCAAATGTGACATCACAGATCTGCAAATCATCTGTTCCTTGGGCTATAGCATTCTGCTCATGGTCACATGCACTGTGTATGCCATCAAGACCCGGGGTGTCCCAGAGAATTTTAACGAAGCCAAACCCATTGGATTCACTATGTACACCACGTGTATAGTGTGGCTTGCCTTCATTCCCATTTTTTTTGGCACTGCGCAGTCTGCAGAAAAGGTAAGTGAAACTGAGCACTGCGTTGTTGATGTCAGAAATCCAGTTGGGCATGTAGATTGAGAGATTATATGTATGCAGTATGTCACCTGTGGAGAAATTTTGAGTTAAGAGGCTTGGATGTTGCAGACATCTAACACTTGCATTGATCCCACTGGAAGCCAAATGGAGGTAGCTTTTCCAAGCTAATGTATTATAGCGTCACTCAATGTAACAAGTGATTAGGCCATATAAAATTATTAAGTCTAAATGCAACCTTCCCATCCTCTTCTTACACATTTCTTTGGGCAGGAAAGGTGGGCTGAATCTAGTGCAGGAACTTTGCAGCTTATTAAAAGTGCCCTGTGTATATAATAAACACATATCCATGCACTCATGTCTGCCAGGGACTCAAGCAAGACATGGATGATATGGAATAGAATTTCTATCTTCCAGTGGTAAAAGTTCAAGATCTTCAATCTATTGATCCTAGATGTGGTGATTAGAGCACATGCTTCCCACTTAACTCTCCAAGGCTATAAATCTAGAGACTCAGGGACACCTCGCATGTGTTGGTACTTATTGTAGCTGGTGGGATCTTGATATAGGTCTGATGATGCATGAAAATTAGGCAATACTAAGGCGTGGATTCCACCTGTGATTGATTCATACACATCTGACATCTATATTCACCCACCTGTCTATGGTTCTCTAGATGCACTAATGGAGTGAGCCTATTACATTGCTTTTCACAAGCTATAGAGTTCTTCATTTGATAGAGGCAGCAGCTCTGACAGAGAGGTGCTGTTAAGTCAGAATCAAGGTCTAGAGTTCTAATGGAAGTGTTCTGTAGGAGAAAGCCTGTTAGAACTCAATTGGAAGTTGTTACATTGGGTATCAGGTGTGATTCCGTGTTAGTTTGGAGAAGTCTCTTTAACATTCGGGGATTCAGTGCCCTGCCTGCAGATGTAAGGATGAAATAGGAACAGCTGAACACATATAAATTTATTCTGGGAATTGGCTGAATATAATTTTATAACATTTGGCTGGTTTTCCATCTGAAAAGCAAGCTTTCATTGAAATGGTTTCATTCAGAAGCTCCACATTTGGATTTTTGTTGTCAAAAATGGTGACACTCTCATGAAACCACATTTTAGAATTCTAAAAACAAGGACTTGATGGCTTCAGATAATGGATCTGGTCTTACAGTGTCTTGCGGCAAGTTTTTCTGAAATATTTGCTCAACGAATGAGCATAGCATGTTTCCAACAGCAAGTTTCAAATTTATAATGCATGTTTACTGTCTGTGAAACCAACTAGAATTTCCTTTTATTGCTTCTATCCATCCTTGGGCCAAGGGAATAGTAAAATATGAGTTAGGGCTGTGAAATGCCAGAGAGACAAGAAGGAAAATCCCCTAATATATGCAGGTGAGTTGATAACCATTACACTTTTTTATGGAGAATGATGAGCATGGTCAAAGCCTCTGAAGATAATTATTTTGTTATTAAAACAAATACAATTCTCCAATAAAAAGAGGCTACAAACACTAAGCCCCTTGCCTGTAAATTTATTTTTGCAGAATTTCGAAAGGCATCATTGTGGTTGTTTTATAGATGTGCCTTGCAATAATGGGGATTTGATAAGATACCCCTCTGCTATTTCATTTTGCTTTTCTAGCCCTTTCTGGGATAATTGTGGATTTTCCCAATGGGGTCAGGGATACAATTCACTCATTTAAAAAGCCAAAAAATGGGACGCATTTCCAGGAACTGAATTCAGTGAGTCTAGTTCTAGTAGGCGCTGTGGGTAGCACTGGAACAGACAGAAATGAAGCTGTCTTTGAGCAGCGTGGTTTTTATCCCAAAGTTTGAAACACACATATTTCTTTTTTTTAAATTTTTAATAGTGAAACACCATGAGGTACAGTTGTAGACTTACAAATTTTTGTGCTTGGATTTCAGTTATACAACGATTGAGTACCCATCCCTCCACCAGTGCCCATTCCCACCTCCAATGTCCCAGCATCCCTCCTCCCTCCCCCCATTCCCACCCCACTCCTGTGTCAGTGCATTCCCTTTTGTTCTCTATTTCCTTTTGGGTGCTGGGAACACACATATTTCTTGGGATGTATTCTCACCGAGTTATGTCTGCATTGCTGATTGGCACAATGAAGGATCCGGGGTTGCCAAATGGGAACTGTTGACTGTTATGTGAAAATGCAGAAGCCCTAATGGTAGGCATATGGGCAGAAAAGAATGAGTGATCAATATTTTACTTACACAAAACAATGGGATTTAAATTGTGAAGGTGGCAAATTGCCAAATGCAACAAAGATCACAGCAAATCTCATCACTGCCAAGCAGAGCAGCCGCCGAGCCCTGGTTCCTCTGTCCTTATTTAGATTTACCATTTTAAGTGTTTCAAGTGGAAGAATTCCATTGTATCGGGAAATAAAAAAAAATTAGGCAGCACATTCAGCAATAATAACTATTTACTGTTTCAGGAAATTGAATTCATTTTTATGATGCCAGGGATATCTCTGTGAAATTTCTCATCCGTTGAGTTCATTAACACCACATAAACTAGGAGAAATGTTTTCTACTTTCTTACAAAATATAATCCCTGCGAAGAGTCATTTCTGCTTTTATGAGGAAGGGTGCAGGAGATTACTGCACTCTGGTCTCATTATGGCGGCTGGAGGATCTGGGCTATGTGGACAGGAGAGAGCCATGGCAGCTGTCAGGAATTTAGCTTGGGTGATTGCGACAGTAGTGTCACTGTGGGGAAATGCTGCCAAGGCCACGCGTGGCACTATCCCTCTGAATGCCATTTCCATCCTTGGAAACTCTGCTGAATTTATATGAACCACAGAGGCTTGACTTGAGGATGTGTCATTGTGTGCACGGACTTGCCCACAGTCTCACAGGGAAGTGAGGCTCAGGTAGGGAGCATACAGGTTACCTTGCTAATGAGTCCGCCTGAAAAATGCTGTTTGTCAGGAGTGTTTATAAAACCAATTGACTGGAAAGCTTTCTTGGTAAGGTATCGTCATCATCATTTTTGGAGTGGGGGCAGCCCCTCTATGCTCAGGACTTTCTCCTGGCACAGTACTATTCGTTACACCTGGACAGGGTTGCAAGCTTCCTGTCGCTTAGCTCTGCAAAGGCGAATTAGGATCAAAGGATTGGGAGCTGAGGTCTGGGGTCTTTGCTCTGTGAATGTCACAGACGATGTGAGAGTCAGAAAGTGCAGAACACACAGGCATTTCTGCTCGGAGGAAGCTGCTGAAAATGATTTGAGGCAAGAAGGAAGGATTTTGACTTTTGGTTCTCCAATGGATCTAGGGGTCATGCCGTTTTCTGCAATTCAGAGCAAACCAGCAGGAAGTCCAAATAATAGAATTATTTCAAGAGTGTACTATGAAAGAGCAGAACGAGGGCTTCTGTTGGCTATCCAGAGCCAGTAACAGGGTCTAAAACTTAGTGATAGTCAAGTTGACCTTGATTGCCCCCAGAGGAATTTAAAATACATGCTGCCAAACTCCCAACTGGATCAGTAGGGCTAGGATGTGGGCCAGAATTCTAGATTCTTGAACAGGCATGTTGGGAATATGCCAATTGAAACTCAGAATACTTCTTGAAGCTGCCTGAACATTTTCTTTCGCATCTACAGAGAACATTCTATAAATAATGTCCTGAATTTCTAATTTCAGAGCCTTTGGGAATAAATTAATTCTTATCTCAAATAAGTGGGATTTCAAGAGGCTCAGGGACCAGGAGATCAGAGAAACATCATTTAGAGTCAAAGATCCTGCTAGAATCAGGAAGTCTAATGAGGTTTCAGTTGTAAGGTTTGGGCAAGACACTCTTAGAACCAGAACCGAGGCGCTACCAGGGGCAGCAGGGATGGCTGGGAGGCAGAGGATGGGAATCACACAGGATATTTCTGGAGAGACTGGAGTTATAGGTCACAATCTCTATATCTCCCATAGCTAGGAGCTGGTTGCCTAGAATCTGAATACAAAGCAAAGCCAGCCTAGGACTAAAATTAGGGATCAGAAATATATGCCAAACAAGTGGTGATCCTTTCCTCAGACCAAAGACAGGCATTGCTCATCCATTTGGACATGCTGTCTCCAACCCAGGAGTGGTCTTGAACACCCCGCACCCCCAAAGTCTTTGGGCAGTCCTTCCCTGTCCGGGAGGACTCTGAACCCCATGTGCCATCCTGATTCAGAACCAGCTTTCCCAGAATCCTGGTATGTCTTTTCCCATCTGCCCATTTGCTGTCATGTACGGCTGTGATAGGATCTTCCGTGTCAAGGTGAAGACTATCCATGGGAGAGAGGGGCTTTATCAGCCTTTAATTGGCCTCTGGTTACTCTTTTCTTTATCAAATCACCACACACATGCCCAACAACATCAGTCCCAGAGGCTGGAGAGAAAGTACAGGCATAAGGCACTTGCCTAGCACAGACTGACCCAGGTTCTATCCCTGGTGCCCTATGGGGTCCCTCGAGCACCACCAGGAGTGATCCTTCAGTGCAAGCCCAGAGTATGGCCCAAGAATCATTCAGTGTGGCCCCCAAGCCACAAAAAAAATTCCAGAGAGAGAGAGAGAGACAGCGATAGTGGGGATAAAAAGAAAGTATCAGACTCCGTTCTCCTGGGGAATAAAAATATACTGGTTTATGTTTCTATGCTACTTGATTTGATTAAAAGAATCTCCCCATGATCGGAGCAATCAAAGTAATAACTAGGAAGACTGAATACGCTCTGCTTCTCTCGAGACTGAGAGACAGGGAGACCCCACCCACCCTGCAGCACAGCTGGGCCTCACAGCTCACCCTGAACAGCACAGAGCTGCAGGGACACTGGGGACCTGGCACCAGAGAGCACCCCACACCCACATGTGCCCCTCAGCATCTCTTAGGCAAGCAGTCCCATGTGGGAAGGAGCCATGGGGGTTCCTAGCTCTGGGGGGTGGGAGAGTCCTTACTCATGCACCCTACAGCCTGCAGG